TAAATTGACCAACACCTGATTAACAATGTATTCACTAACACCTGGTTTACTATGATGTTTGCTAGTGATCCAACAATTCATCTTTATAATGTAACACAAAATGTAAATTGACCAACAACAGATTAGCAATGTATTCACTAACCCCTGGCCTGATGTTTGCTAGTGATCCAACATTTCTTTTTTGAGGTGTAACACAAGATGCAAATTTACTCACTGCTAAATGTTATCACTAATTATATATTACTGCATGACTATATATGTGACTTAACTACAACCTATTCACTATCAGTATCATTAAACTGTGTGTGTCATCTACAATTCAGAATCATAAATAGAAACTTTTCAAGCCTTCTGTTTGTCATCTGCATTTGTTGAAGCCACATACATTAGGTGTATAGTATGGTCATTCTATACTATCATCTACCATTAAGTGAAGACAATATTTTGTTCTTTGTTCCTAACCAAATGCCATTTATGTCACTCTATCAACACACAATAATGGTTTACTATTAATATGTCTTTTTACATGATGTAGGTAAAATTTGGATTGAATTGACTAAATTCTACAAAATACCAATGTTGAATTCAAAATACAGTTATAACTTCATGTAATATAATATCTTGTCTTTCATCTCAGAGGTCAATATTTACAGCATTATGCACTGCTTAGATTAGAGGGTGTGTGATAAACAAATGACATTGTCTAACATTTTGCAACAATTTGTCTCAGGCAGTTTACTTGTCATAATGATCTAAGAGAGACTGTGAAAATACATATCAGATATACCATCACATGACACATGCAATACTAAAAAGTAATGTTAGATTTCATTTTATATTTTACATTGTAAATAAAATTGTGGTAAATTATTTATATTTTCCTTTACAGCAATATACATAATTTATTAATATATTATAAATTATACTAGACGGGATATGATACCAAGACCTTCTAGTTCCTTTTACCTGAGTTGTTATATCTAGAGAAAATTGGCAGAGAAACACCCACCTAATCTATACATACGTGTTTTTTTTTCATCACTTTTATGGTAAAAAGAAATTACTAACATTAGTTTACATTAGTATCTAAAATTGACTGTTGTTTTGATTTCACCACTATAGTACATTATTATTATAGTTTATGTACTATTACTATCCATTGACTTTTAGTTTTAGCAAGAATATCAACCAGTCCTACTATGGAGGACGATACAAACATAAACCAATACTGTGGAGGACGATACAAATATCAAAAAATTACTGTGGAAGACGATACAAATATCAAAAAATTACTGTGGAGAACGATACAAACATAAACCAATACTGTGGAGAATCATACAAACATAAACCAATACTGTGGAGAACAATACAAACATAAACCAATACTGTGGAGGACGATACAAACATAAACCAATACTGTGGAGGACGATACAAACATAAACCAATACTGTGGAGGACGATACAAACATCAACCGATACTATGGAGGTAGATACGAATATCAACCAACACAGTGGAGATTGATACGACTGCATACTGTCTGAGGGTTATTATTATACACCTTTCCAATCCAATGCCCAGAACTGAGTAAAAAGGTTAAAATCATTGGAACTTTTTAAATCTTGGAATTACATGTAATCATTTTATATTTAAAATCCATATTTCCTAATTTGGTAGATGCAGATACCTGCGTAATACTGCTGCGTTACGACATTTGCATAATATCATGGGCATA